ATTGAGAAAATAATCCATAAATTCGGGATGGAAAATTCAAAACCGGTATTTTTGCTAATAATACCAAAACTTTTGTTTTGAGCCTCCGTGGCTTGCGCCCTTCAAGGCAAAGGCCTAGCGGATTATTCGGGCCTAGGTCTGGGCCCTAGGAAATTATTGAAAAATTAAACCATAAGCGTGTTTTAGGCAATCTAGAGGCTGAGTAATAAGGATGGTTTGATGGTCGCAGAGTTTTTGACTGAGGGATTTAATAAATAAGCTACGGTAGTTTTAAAACCCCGAAAATGTCATGATTTGATATATATTTCAAGTTTTTGGTACGGTACATAAATAATGGTTGTATAAACAACAAACAATAGAAAAACTAAGAACAAACCAAATGATGTAGGTATTATAATAACAACTGTAGGAAATTGATTATTTTATTTTATACATTGCATAGTAAAATACAAAATACTGAAAAAATGAGAAACTAACTTACTGATTATTATAGTACATTATTTCATAGGTACCAAAATTATTTACCACCATTGACTATACACAGAGCACGCAATCATCACAAAACATAAAAGAATGAATACAAACTAGTTTGAACCAACAAAATAATATAGAAATTCAAAGACAAATAAAACTACTTAGGAACTACCCAAGGCCTGATGATCTTCTGATCAAATCAAATCTTCTTTTCAAATCTTCTCAATCTTCTTTTCAAATCTTCTGATGAGCAGCCTAGAACCTTCAAGTATGATGATCATTCCTCGGAGCATCCTGATATCATTTCCAACTTCTTCGCTAACTTCTTCTCGTCGGTCTACACCAACAATCATGTCCATAATCCTTCACCTGTTGTGGGAGTTTCGGATGTTCTCTCTTCCTGCTCGCTTCAGCTTGGGGAAGTTGTTGACTGCCTTAGGAACCTGGATGGCTCTAAGGGTTGCGGCCCTGACAACATACCGCCTAATGTTCTCAAATCAAGTGCTGATTTTCTAGCTCCTGTTATTTTATTTCTGTTTAACCACTCCTTAGCCTCGGGTGTGTTTCCTGATGCTTTTAAGAGTGCCTACATCTTGCCCATCCACAAATCTGGTTCTACTCTAGATGTCCGCAACTACAGACCTATAGCTATCTTGAATACACTCTCCAAAATCTTCGAAAAGTTGATCCTCAAAAGACTGAACTTTGCCATCAAGCCATATATCTCTCTATGCAGCATGGATTTTCTACTGGACGCTCAATTACCACCAATCTTTTGGTAATGCAAGCTGACATCCTTGATGCCTTTCAAGATCGCTTGCAAGTGGACGCCATTTATCTGGACTTTGCTAAGGCGTTCGACAGGGTAAACCATCCGCTCCTCCTCATTAAGCTCCAAGCTTCTGGTGTAACTGGGAATATGCTATCTTGGTTCCAGTCTTACCTTGCAAACCGCCCCGTTCAAGTTAAGTTTCTTGGTTTGTTATCCCATGAATTTTTACCCACATCTGGTGTTCCCCAGGGCTCACACCTTGGTCCACCACTTTTCAACATCTTCATTAATGACCTGGTGTCCCACGTTGGTAGCCCTTGCCTTCTATTTGCTGACGACCTGAAGATGTACCGTACCATTAGAACCCACAAAGACTGCCTTCTCCTCCAACATAGTCTCGATGCCGTACAGAAATGGTGTGTCTCAAACCTCATGGACCTAAACATCAAAAAGTGTGTAGCCATATCGTTTAGCAAGAAGAAGTCTCAGCTTCAGTTTGTCTATAGCCTGGGTCAATATAATCTTGCAAGGGTTAACGAAGTGAGGGATTTAGGCGTGACCTTAACCTCTGCCCTGTCATGGGAGCGTCACATTACTACTAGTTGCAGAAAAGCCCTTCAAGCCCTGGGTTTTGTTCTTCGTAGTTCCAAACATTTTCAAGACGTTACTCTACTCAAAACCTGTTCCTGGCCTTCGTATTGCCACACCTTGAGTTTGGCTGTTGTGTTTGGTCACCTCACCAAGACTATCTCAAGACCAAACTTCAAATGGTTTTTAATCACTTCTTGAGAGTGGTCGGTGTGAGGTTGGGCTACAACTGCAGAGAGGTACCCATCCAAGACATCTCCGTGGCCCTTCAAATCCTTCCTTTGGAGTCCAGACGTGAGATCCAGGATATCTTGTTCATCTACAAACTGGTCAATGGCTTCATCGACTGTCCCGGACTTCTCAAACTTCTGAACTTTAGGGCAGGTAGATCTTCAAGATCCAGGGACCTCTTCTCTCGTGAGCACCTCAGCACCAACTATCATCTCTACAGCCCATTGCCCAGAGCCCAACGTCTCGTCAATGCTCTACCTGATGACATTGACCTTTTTAGTATGTCGCTTGCTTCCTTCAAGAAAAGTGTGGTGTCTTCGAAGTGGTGATCTCTCTGTGTTTTGTGCCTGCGCCTCGTGTATACGTTAATTTCAAAACTGCCCTTTCTTGTTTTGTAAACATCACGGCAGATTTTTCGCTTTTTCTGCTATGTTTGGTTGTGATTTGCTTGTTTTGGTCCATGCAATATTGTTATTTTTGTTTTTGCACCCAAATTAGTTATCAAAATTTCTTGAATTTGAGATTGTTATTGAAACTTATTCCTCCTGTTTGTTAACTTGTTTTTATTGTTGCTCTTTATTGTTATTTGTTATATTGTTCAATTATTGTTGTCAAATGTTATTGCTTGTTATACTGTTCTGAATTGTTTCTCATTTTGCAGCTTTTATTTTTCTTCAAATTGTATCAATCTAAATCTCCTATGTATTGGCGTCAGCCGTTGGTCAATAAATAAATAAGGCCTATAAAAGATCCTTTATCTCTATACATAAATGCGAAATTCCGATCAACACACAGGCCAAACCATAGCACCTAGAAGCATGAGATTTTGCATACAAACTCCTCTCATATCGTAGGCAGGCAATAAGAAGCGATTTTACAAAATTCCCAATGGGCTGCGCCCCACAGAAGGTCAAAGTTTTGCATGGAGTTCGTATAGAAAGAATAATTTGTTTTGGGTTTTGTTTACATTTGTCTGCAATTTATTTAATCATCAGCTGTTAAAATAAAAATTAAGTTTACTAAGGTTATTTCGGACCAAATAAACATCATAGTTGTGTGTCAGTGAAATTAACCTAATTTATTGTGATATTTTAATTGTATCAACTTCTAATATGTGTGATTAGTGTTGCGTAAAGTAGAGTTAAACTTAGTTTTTATTGCATTTTTATTTTTAAGAACTAACTTATCATTCAGTTCTGTTAATATTTTTGTAGTTGTTTTTAAAAACCGTTTTATAGTATCAACACTGAGGTTTTAAATGTTAATGGCGAGTTCATTCCACACAATATCATTCACATCAGAGAAGATGGTGCATGTTTATTTACTTCACTCTCATTCTTAATTCACCTTACACACATACACCCACACACGCATACACTCACACACACACACACACACTAACTGTGCGCGAAGAAATTGTTCAACATGTTATGAGGAACTGGGACTACTTTTCAATCTTATCCTATGACAGTGACAGGAATAATTACCCTAATTTCAGGGAATACTTCTATGGAATGTCTAAGCCGTTTACCTTTGATGGGTTGTGTGGGCTGGTTGCGGCTTCACAACTATTCACATTTGTTTTCGAAGTTTATCGGAATGGTGAATTATATGTCAAGTTTGGTGATGAACGTAATCCCGTGAAAAGACTCAGATGTACACAATCCCTGTCTAGCGGGACTTCGATGTTTTAGAATTACAAAACAAGCCCGTTTCCCCCAATTGTCAGTCGATCCCGGAGTTTCAACAAAATACATCAAGGCGTAAACGGCGTAGCAGGTGCACAGACAAACCAAGAAAAAATCTGGTGAAGAACGCAAGCAAAAAGTATGAACAAACTCATCCTGAAAGACATTCGCCAAGGGTTCAATGGACGGTCAAAATTCTATCAGCAATGGCATATAATGCGGAAATAGACTATGAAGGAGAAAGCTCGGTGGCGATAGGTACCATGACGTTCAAATATAAGTACTGCGAGGCCTTAAAATGGAAAGAAGAAACACCGGACATGTGCTGCAATGGTGGTAAAGTCCAGCTACAACCTTTGCAGCACCTACCTGAACCTTTATGCAGTATGGTCATGGGCAACCACCCTGAGCAGACACACTTTATGGACCGGGTGAAAAGACATTATAATAGCTGCTATTAGATGACATAATTAGCAAAACAGGTTGTAGCTAAATTGTTGACTGAAGGTTGTTGGCACTTAAACACTAATTCATTTAAAACTTAAACCAATTTGAATGTTTCCGTAGCGAAGCATGGGTATTCCGCTAGAAGTATCTTTATATCCTTTACGCCTCGGGAGTTACACCATGATTTCCCATCCTAATGGAACAGCTGGAGCCAATTTTATTGTTAGTTCTGTCCGGTTTTCTGTAGATGTCGTGTTTTGTTTACAATTTGTTTCTATTAGTTTAGGGTTAGTTTCTCATTGTTTGTGTCTCACTGTTTGGTTATATAGCTAGTGGACGAGTTATTGTTTATGAATAGATAGTTTTATTTTGCTAAACAATGTTTTAAATTACTGAAATAACAAGAAACAAATTGTAAACAAAACACAACATCTACAGAAAACCGCACAGAACTAACAATAAAATTGGCTTCAGCTGTTCCATAAGGATGGGAAACCTACCAAGGGACTATGTTATATCCTATGGTTACACCTAGGCTACTATATTTTTATTCGATGTCACAATAAATTATGTTGAAATATTTTCCACCCAAAAACTATAAGTTTGATAGAATAGTTTTACTAGGTTAAAAGTATTCGGCAGAAATCACCATAATCTACATCACACAACAGTGCACTGTGCTGGTCGCACAATTGATTCAGTAGCTGGCAAAAACATTATTATGGGAGTGGTATGTATAGTTATATCAATAATCAAAGATAAAATCCACTTATAGGCTAAATACATTGGTATTTTTTTAGGTAAGGGAAAACTATCAATTCGAAAACCACGCTGCAGCTCCATCCCCTGCGCCTGTAGCTTTCAGAGATGACGCCCAGGATCATGCTTATCAAGCATACAGAGAATACCAGAAGAAGTAACCCTCTCAGAAAGTATACACTAATTGTTGCTCTAGTATTAGTAAAAATTAGGTTGTTAATTAATTGTTGTTATTGTTTGTTACATATTTATTTAATAGTTTGTTTATCAACAAAAGTATATTGTAGCCTACCCATGTATAAAATGTAAATAATGATAAAAGTATTTATTCTATAAGCAGTTTTGTGCGGTTTTTTGCTCTGCCAAGTGCCAACTGAGAAAAACCTGGCTTCCAAACTAGTCTAGCCTCTGGTATAGGTTATATTTCAACATATCCAGTACCAAAATAGCTGAGCTCTTATACTGGTTCACTGATTATCACATGATAAAGTTTAATAAACCCCGTCGTCACTGCAGACTAAGAAAATTTACACTTTCATTTCTTTATTTCAACGGCAAAATTGCCAATTTATACATGGACAATTCAAAATAGACATGATAACTGTGCAACAAATTTCATAAGCAAAAGCAAAGAACAATATGTAAAGAAACAATAACAGATCAGTTACCAATTACAGATCACTTTCCTGATTGTATTGCCAGTACCACTAAAATACCTCCTTAAAAATGTTGGGTTAATTTCCTATTAAAATGGCATTTGGTTTTGTTTATGAGTACTGTACTTAGATTTGCTCCTTCTGGGAGGATAATAAAGCATTTTTTTTTTTTTTTTTTGTGAAATATCAATGGTTTAGTATAATACCTCCGCCGCAGCAAACCTGCAGACTAAGCGAATTCCAATTTATCCATATTGGATTTCAAATTAAATCTATTTAAATAACATTATAGATTTAACAAGTACCTAGGTTTGCTGCTACAGGAGGGTAAAAAAGTGTTTTTTAGTAAAAATAAATAGCTTAGTATAAAATACATTTACTAAGTTTGATAAAAATATATCCATAAACAAGCAAACTACAACAGTTTACTTATTCTCTATAAAAATAGCATATGGGAATTTTAAATTTAAAATTTTTTGAATAATAATTTTTTTATAAATTTTCTCTGTAACCGAAAACCACACAAAAACACTCCAATATACTAAATTATTGTTTTTTTTTTTATTCTCCTTAAAATGGTGTAAAGAGAAATTGGGAAATTTTATGTTTTGAGGGTCAATAATAAGAAAACCCTACTTTTACCCCATAAAACCCCTAATAACACCCCGGTCCCATAGTCCAATCATGTTGGTTCAATTTTATCCCGCCCTACACCTTCAAGCCAAATTTAATCAAAATTGGATAAAAATTACTCAAGTATCGCGCTCACGGACTTGTATATATATATATGTGTGTGTGTGTTCGATAGCGCGATAACTCGAGCAAAAATGATCTGATTTCAATGAAATTTGGTACATATATGTAAACCTACGTTTATTTGAACGAGTTTGCGAACCAGCATAATCGGTCCAACAGGGGTTTAGGGGGGTTTTATGGGGTAAAAGTGGGTTTTTCCCATTTTTGACCCTAAAGACAAAATATTTTGCAATTTAAAATAATAAAAAAATAAATAAGGTCTTTATTCATCAGTGAATTTCAGTTACAAAACTGTTTTACAAATTGACTCAAGTCAGGACTAAATAAAACCTCTTATAACTACAAAACAAAATAAGATTAGTTACAAACTCTTTAGGCGATTCTTAAAATTGTTGTAAGACAGTGCTTTTAGCGTGCAAGGAAGTGCATTGTACTGATTGCAGGTGTTAGCCTCCGGATTGCCAAATAATATTAGAAAAGGTGCAAACACCTGCTATTAACCAATCCAACATTGTTGTTAAAACAACTAGTTTCGGTGCCTGTGTGGCACCATCATCAGGCTGTACGTACAAGGTAGGATTTCTTTCTTCATAGGAAGAGCGTCATATAGTTTACACGAAAATAATAAATAAAGGTTTAACCACAACACAAACACGAATACGAGACATTTATGGTAACTGATCAGTTAAGAAAACAGACAACGCTAACCCGGCGGTGTTTGAGTCCAGACTGCAGGTGGTCAGTGCAATGGTGTAAGTCTGTTATCTTATCATATTAGGTCGTGTCCTGTCAATCACACTTCCCCTCTCCAGTAAACCGATGGCAGTGTCATACATAAAATTAGACGATAAAAATGTTTGGTCATTTAGTACATTTTGGTGGTCGGATTTTACTGCCTTATATATCTCAAACTCTTCCAATGTGTTAAGTTTATATCTGTCTTTATAAAAATGTAAAATATCCATATTGCTGCTAATGTTGGTATAATTGTGGCCTTGGGATATTAAATGTTCGGCAAAAGTTTATGTTTGGTGGGCTGTTGACGCTTTTGGAAGATGCTCTTTGAATTGTTTTGTAAAGGAACGTGCTGCTTGGCCGATGTAGTATTAGTCTTCATTTCAATAATATTGCTGAAATGTTTCTGCTTTGCCCGCCTGATTGCACCATTTAACCTACTTCCTGCTCCACAGTACTGCTGCCTAGACTCAGGGGAATTTGCATGCTCCTTCTTATATTTATTTTTTACTAGCCGGCCCGACAGACGTCGTCCTGTCCTAATGTGATTTTATGTCAAATGCTCGTTCATTTTCAAGGTGAGCTCGTTCGCATGGCTCAATCACGCCCTGGTTAAAATTCATTCGCTATGCTCACTTACCTTTAGGTTGGAGCTCGTTCGCTGCACTCACTTGCCTTCAGGTTAGCTCGTTCGCTACGCTAACTCACATTTTAGTTGCAAATTAGCTGTTGTCATAAATTTAAAAAATAATAGTGCTGCTCCCTGTTGGTAAACCTATTAACTTATTAATGCTATTGAACATCACAGAATCAAATTGTTTAGTTGAACCAGCTGTTAAGATTCTTTTACCTGACCCGCCATGTTAAACTTCCCTATCCCAAGCGGGATGTTTCCAACTCCTATACTTCTCGAGTGATGTGAAGTTGAAAAAACTCCCTTGGTGAGGCAATGAAACCCATTTAAATAACATTAAGTGCTTAAATTAAAAAATATACCTCAATAGAGCCAACGACGTTCAACGCTAGGAATCAGCTATGCACTTGAATGTTATTGTTACGCTTTAAAGTATTTTCCTAACCTAGCTTTTGTTTGTAAAAGAACGTTACTGTTAGAAAATGAGTGAAATGGATAATGAAAAATATTGTACGTAACCCTCTATATATTGTCGGGTCAGGTAAAATCATAGACTAAGCAACACAAGTAGACTTCTCATCCCATTGTAAATTTTGAAGCTTGTTTTTTGCGTCTAGTTCATGTATGTCCACACTGATCGCTAGTGTAGACAACATTTTGTTTCTATTATTTTAGGGTTATTTTCATGATTTGTGCTTTTCTATTTGGTTACATAACTAGGAGACCAGTTGTTGTTTATGATTATATCGTTTTATTAGGTTAAACGAGGTTTTAAATTACTGCAATAACAAGAAACAAATTGTAAACAAAACATAACCTCTATAGTTGGACGTACAGAACTAACAATAAAATTGGCTTCAGCTGTTCCATTAGGGTGACTGATCTACTAAGGGAGTATGTTTTATCTATGGTAAAATCTTGTACATTACACGTTACGTAAGAGCGTGTTTACGTCACTTAAGTGAATTATGCAACTCGCTTCCGCTCGTTGCACAACATTCACCTGCGTGATGTAAAAACGCTCTTACTATACTTGTAATGTAAATAGCTATAATTCCATTTAAATATGAGTACTCATAAGGTTAACATGGGAAAGTCCAGAGCTACTGGGGCGGAGCCCTTTTGACGGATCTGCACCAAACTTCACACAAACCATCCTTGAATAATTCTTAATTATGCCTGAAATTTTCATTAATTCTTAATTATGCCTGAAATTTTCATTACAATCTGTCAAGCAGTTTCGGAGTCCATAAAGGACAAACAAACAAACAAACAAACCTTATAATATACTAGCTGGCCCGACAGACGTCGTCCTGTCCTATTGTGGTTTTATGTCACATGCTCGTTCATTTTCAAGATGAGCTCGTTCGCATGGCTCAATCACGTCCTGGTTGAAGTTCGTTCGCTACGCTCACTCATCTTTAGGTTGAAGCTCGTTCGCTGCGCTCACTTGCCTTCAGGTTAGCTCGTTCGCTACGCTAACTCGCCTCCAGGTTGAAGTTCGTTCGCTACGCTCACTCACCTTTTGGTTGCAAATGAGCTATTCTCATAACTCAAACAAATATAGTGCTGCACCCTGTTGGTAAACCTATTAACTTTTTAATGTTATTGAACATCACAGAATCAGATAGTTTAGTTGAACCAGCTGTTAAGATTCTTTAATTCCATTTAAATATGAGTACTCATAAGGTTAACATGGGAAACTCCAGAGCCACAGGGGTGGAGCCCTTTTGACGGATCTGCACCAAACTTCACACAAACCATCCTTGAATAATGCTTAATAATGCCTGAAATCTTCATTACAATCTGTCGAGCGGTTTTGGAGTCCATAAAGGACAAACATACAAACAAACATACATTGGATTTTATAGATATAGATATATATAGATTTTTGTGAGAAATTTTATTTTGTCATTCCTCCACGCAGCTTTTCGTTTTGTGACTCTTTTCCTAACTACAGGTGCGCACTCATCATAAATCTGAATGATTGAAGATGTAAGTTAGCTACAGACTTCCTCTAAAATATTAATCCTGGCTATCGCTGCCCAGTTGGTTTTTGAAGCTAATGAAAGAAAGTGAGGCATGTCAAACTTTGTGAAATCTCGATATGCAATATATTCTGCATTCCGTTTTTGTCTGCTACACGGAAAGTCGCAAAAAACCAGTTTGTGATCAGTTAGTTTTTTAATTACCATAGCTAGTTAAAATTAGGGAAGTGTCAATCACTCCCACCTTGCTCACCTCCATAACACTTTCAGTAATGGTCTATAGAAGTCAATGACATTTCTGTGACCAGTTGGCTCCATTACCAACCGTGATAAGCTTAAGGATTCCAACAGATTACTTAAGAACTTGCCATCACTCTATTTTTCTCCGAATAGATTTATGTTCAAGTCCCCTAATAATATTACAGAGTCTACAAGTGGGAGAGTGTCAATAAAAAGTGAGTATAAAACAGATTTCAGGTAACTATATGGGTGGTCTATATAAAAAGCAAACACAAATCTTTCTGTTACCAATATCAACTTGCATGCATATATAGTCCATGCGATTGTCAACATCAATTCAATTCAACATCAATTTCTTTCTAAACCATTTTGTAGAGCTTAAAAGAAGAAATAATTTAGTATATTGAAGAGCTGTTAAAATTCAATTTCTTGTAGTTTACTTGTCTATGGATATGTGTTGATAAAATTTGGCAAATTTATTTATTTCATTCTATACTCAATCAATCAATCAATCAAAATAACTTTATTCATATTGTACATTTTGTACAGAATGGAGTCAGTTATAAAAACACAATATTAAACTTAAGACTACTTACAAAGAATATTATTATTATAAAAAAATCAAATTTCAGGAAGTTGGAAAAAATCTTCTAATTTATACAAGGGTCTGTTGGTGAGAAATAATTTCAAACGTTTTTTAAATGAATTAAAATTACTTATATTTTTTATATTGTCAGGTAAGCTATTTAAATATTTAACACCACTATAAGATGGAATTTTTTCATAAACCGATAAATTATGTCTGTTGAACGCCAATTCATTACCTTTTCTGGTTGAATATGTATGAAAAGAGTTCAATTTTGGCAATCTTTCATGGTTTGATTTAATATAAAGGGCTATTTGATAAATGTATAAGCTAAAAACAGTCATAATTCCTATTTCTTTAAACTGCTCTTTTGCGGATGTTTTTGACTTTAGTTTTAACATAATGCGAATTGCTTTTTTTTGAAGTTCCAGAATGCTATTTAGGTTAAAATTTGATGTGCCCCCATAAAGACACAACCCAAAAGAAATATGTGATTCAATTAAGGAATGATATACTATTTTTAAGGTTTTTAAACTACTAAATTTTGACATCTGTCTTAATGCATGTATGCCTGAGTTGACTTTATTACAAACGTTTTCAACATGACTGTCCCAGTTGAATTTATCATCTATATGCAATCCAAGAAATTTTATTGTTTTAACTTCATTTAGTAAAATTGTATCCATAAAAATATTAAATTCAGGTGAATTTTTGCTCGTTGAAGAAAAGTTTATATAATTAGTTTTTATTGTATTCGGTAATAAATTGATTTCATTTAAATATTGGTTACATTTGGTAAGCTCAACAAAAGAAGAGACTTCCACATCAGCATTTGAATTTCCGGATATTTTTATATTGATGTCATCAGCAAATAAACAAACACGATTGGGAGATTCTATCAATGAAGGGAAGTCAGTTAAGTAAATTAAGAATAATAAGGGCCCCAATATTGATCCTTGAGGGACACCATACTTAACAATTTTCGTTGAGGAAGTGTAAGTAATCAATTGATTATGGCTATTTACGTGATCAATTGTGACATACTGCTGCCTGCCTGTAAGATAAGATTCAAACCAACGCCAAGCTCTCCCTTTTACACCGTTATATTTAAGTTTTTCAAGAAGTAAATCATGTGAGACACTATCAAAGGCTTTTGTTAAGTCTAAGAATATTCCCACTACTTTTTCCTTTGAATCAATTGAATTAATTATAGATTCACAGAAATCGACTCCTGCGTCAATCACGGACCTTCAGGGCCGGATTTAGCATTTTTGCGCCCCTAGGCCCAAATAATTTTCCGCCCCCTAGTCTGGTCACAGTTACTTTCCTTTAAACCTTTATTAAAAACTATATCACGCCCATAGGCCTAAGTTAATTGCTTGAATACCACTCCTCGCCGGAATCATTGCAAGTTTTTTTTATTGATTGTTTAGCCTTAACAAAATGCCGTCTTAAACACTGTTGGCAATTTTATGCTTTTAATAAATGCTCACGTTTGTGGCCGTGGAACTGAAACAAAACAACTCAAACCACCGAGAATTCCTGAAAAAAAAAAAAAAAAAAAAAAAAAAACATGGCCATTGATTCCAATTCCAGGCCCAAAAACCTGAACTCCATACAGTATGTGATACCGATTAAACATAGGCTACTCCTTTAGTAGATTTGTCATAATTTTGGATTAGCTGAAAACAATTCTTGTTATTTAAGGAGTATGTTTAAACCTAGTTTATCCAAAATAAAACGATCTAATCATCAACAATCGTCTCCTGTTTATATTACAAGAAATTAAAACACACATCATAGAACTAACCCTAAAAAAAATAGAAAGAAAATTACATCAAAACTAACGTCCAGTATCACCAACATGAACTAGACATGAACAAATTTTGAATTAACAATGTCATAAGAAGTCGACTTGAGTTATATATAATCTATGGTCGTACTGTATCTAGGTTATATTTCCAAAGCAAAACAGAGCAATACTCCTGCCAACCATACCGATCCTTAGGTCTGAGGAGAAAATGACAGCATTAATGGTGCTTTGGAGGGTATTGAATGTTTTTGAAATCTAATGCAAACTGAGATTAATATTTTTTAGTTAAATTTAAACGTAAATTAATCGTTTTAATATTCAACACAACGTATTATATATTTTAACTTGATCCTGCAGATTGTTGTAAACTAATCAAAAGATTAGTTAATAACTTTTGTTTTGTGAAGTGAGGGTGGTAACAATGTCTAGCACGCTTGCGCCCCTAATCACTATGATCTGTAGTGCCGAGCCCGAGCCTGAGCAAGCCGAGCCAGCATAGTGGCCCAGTGCAGTGGCAATACGATGCGTTAACCCTTGGGCGCTCGTCAACGTCAACATCCCTACAGCCTACTCCCGTATAACCAATGTTCGTTAGCAATTTTGTAACGAAATTGATGCGTAATTCTGAAAAATATTTTAAATTTCATAACAATAATTTCTTCTTATGAACTTCGGAAGTTTTTTGATCAACTATGACTATTTATTTTTATTTTTAGATAGCCTATAAAAAAATTCCTCTTGGCCGTGCGCCCTCTGGGACCTTGCGCCCATAGGCCCGGGCCTACCGGGCCTATTGGGAAATCCGGCCCTGCGGACCTTCCTTCTCTAAAACCATATTGTTCCTTATCTAATAAATTATTTTCCTCTAAGTATTTTGAAAGTTGTATATGCACAACTCGCTCAAAAATTTTTGAAAATGAGCATAACAATGAGATAGGTCTGTAATTACACACTTCTTCTGGGTTACCATTTTTATAACAAGGTTTAATTTTTGATTTTTTTAATTTTTCGGGGAAAATTCCAGAGATAAAAGAAGAGTTTATAACATGTAGTAATGGTAATAATATATATAGACGAGCCTGTTTAATTATTGGCATTGGTATTTCATCCCAGCCAGTGGAAAATTTATTGTCAAAAGAAGTTATAATATTATCCAGCTCTTCATAAGTAATTGGTGAAAGACTGAATTTTGATATCAATTTTTGGGAGGGTGAAATAATATTTTTCGAACCAGTAGAAGATATTAGTTTGGGCAATATGTCATTTTCAACCATCATTGTATAGTAATCACTCGCCTTTGGCTCGCTGGGGGCTCCGCCCCCAGGCCCCCTAGCTGTTAGTCGTCATTAGTAGATTAGAGTTAAGTTGTAACAAAGCAAGAAGTGAAACCGTCAATATTAAGTTATATAAGTTAACTTTGAGTAAGATAACTTCTAGCTTAAGGAACACCTCATAAAAAAATCATTTTTTAAGTTGCGGTAAGTGAGTATGTTAGTCAAGTATTTTTACAATTGAGTTTTTGGTCAAAGGAAGTAATAATATGAGGAGAGAAGGGTTCGTTATAGTAAAAATCGACATTAAAGTAATAACGATTTCATGAATTTATTAGAGGAGATTGATAAGTTAATAAGTTGATAATAGTAAAGTATTATATGAAGTAAATAGATTATAGTAGATATTCAAGTATATAATTACGAAAATAGATTAAGTAAGGTTTGTTTCCCTGTCGGTTAGCCATAAACTTTATGGCATATCCAGTTCCGCCACGAGGAGGCCAGGAAACGTCGGAACCATATTTGCAATTATTTGAATATGTACAAGTTAGTAAACTTTTGTACAAGATAAGTAAATTTATATTGATGTTCATTGATAGGTTAATAAGTTGATAATAGTAAAGTATTATATGATGTGAATAGATTATATTAGATATTCATGTATATATGATGTAAATAGAAAATAGATTATAGTAGATATTCATGACGTATATATTTATGAAAATAGATTAAGTAATGTTTGTTTCCCTGTCAGTTAGCCACAAACTGTATGGCATATCCAGTTCCGCCACGAGGAGGCCAGGAAACGTTGGAACCATATTTACAATTACTTACAAATGTACAAATTAGAGAACTGTTGTATAAGATGAGTAGATTGATTAGTATGTCGATTGATAAGTGAATAAGTTGATAATAGTAAAGTATCATATGAATTAAATAGATTATAGTAGATATTCATGTATATATTTATGAAAATAGATCAAGTAATGTTTGTTTCCCTGTCGGTTAGCCATACAATTTATGGCATATCCAGTTCCGCCACGGGGAGGCCAGGAAACGTCGGAACCATATTTACAATTATTTACAAATGTACAAGTTAGTAAACTTTACTAACTACTTTATACAACAACGGGGACTTTTGATAAGGCATGCCCCCTATCGTACTGCCGATGTTGTCAAGTCACAACGGGGAGTTTTGATTAAGCAGATCCCCTAGCCTACTGCTAATGTCAAATCAGGTTTAGAGAAGGAGATCGCCATACACGATGTTCTTTGCGTATGCGATTCCATCTCGGACACGTTCGGGGTGTACGAGAACAACAATATGGTCTGGATGTCTGACCCTACTGAGCAAGACGTATAGTTGCCCGTGCGTGAAGCAATCGGTCCGTAAATCAACACCGACTGAATCTATTGTCTGACCTTGGCTCTTGTGTCCGGTCATGCAATAGGCCAACATCAGTGGGAACTGACGTCGACGAACACGTAACGGCGAACCCTCGACAAACGCAAAAGTAAAGGTAATCCGGGGAATTCCGATAGGTTGCGTCTGTCCGGGAAGTCTCACTGTAATCAGGCGGTTGGTGATGCCGATTACGATGACTTTAGTGCCGTTGACGAGTCCTTCAGCGATGTTGAGGTTCCTCATAATGAGGCAAACAGAACCGATCTTCAGCCGCAGAACATGGTCTGGTACGCCCTTGCCAGTAGCCGTGTTCAGGAGTTGAACGTCGACATCCAGGCCATCGTCGTTCTCTCTGTCGACTGTGTCGGCGCTCCTCAGCTCGTACAGATGACCGTCGAGGGAGTTCAAGATGTGGTCGTTGATCTCCTTGACGTTCACTATCAGAGTCGAGAGGATTGCGCGTCGCGAACACATATCAGAGTCGAGTAGGACGTTTGCGGGAAAGACGGAATCGACCAAATCAGTCAAAGACGTCACTTGTCTAATCCCGAGCAGCGGAATTAGACTTTGTTCGTTCCGTCCCTCCAAGAAAGTGGTCGAACTGACAGTTCCGTTGCCTACCCTAAGAAGGAATTCGGAATAGGCTGTGGAACTACTAGTCCGATGAGCTGTTGTCAGGGCAAAAATTTTGAAATGCTGCCACAGATGGGAAGCCCGAAGTGAGACACAAACAATGTCAGTTGGAGTACGAGCGTTTACAACGACAGGCGCGATCTGGCGAAAGTCGCCACAACAGAGGAATATTTTACCACCGAATAGCTCACTGGAACGCATGAGGTCTCGCAGGGATCTGTCAAGAACCTCGAAAACGAACCGATGTGCCATCGGGGCCTCATCAAAGACAATGAGCCTTGCGGCCCTGATGAGCTCTGCTCGCTGGGAGCCGTTGGTGATGTTCCAAAAGCCGGTGCCGTCACCGAAGTCGAGTGGCAACCGGAACATGCTGTGAGCTGTAGTTCCACCAGGCATGTTACCCGCGGCGATCCCAGAGCTAGCGACTGCCAGTGCAACCTGACGACAACCTCTCACGTATGCGAGAATGACACGAATCAGAGTGGTCTTCCCATAGCCTCCCGGGCCGTCAAGAAAAATGATTTTCGACGACGTTCCGCTGGCAGGGGCATTGAGAACGGAGGTAACGTACTCAAATACGCGGTTTTGATCTTCAGAGAGCTTTGGCACCCACTCCTCCACAAACACTCTCTGTTGATTTTCACCATGTAAGAGCAGTTCTCTGCCCAACTCCGTCGTGTCATCGTGTACATCGGGGAGGCCATGATCTGCGACGCAAGAACCCTGCCGACGAAGACTCCGATCAATATCGATGAGACCTAGCTTGTAGGCCAGTTCAACATCGAGAGGATTACGCTCTATGTGGTCCTCGCAGATGGAATCACGGAAAGCATCCCACAGGAGAGCTGCAGGAGCCCCCATGTTGCAGAGGATCACAAAGAAAGAACGAAGTCTCGGGCCAGTCATGAAAGTGGCGGCCTCGCGCAGTGCGTAGTGGTACTCCTGTTCGTCTTGCACCAAGCCAAGATGCCGCGCGACCCCTTGAAAAGTGCGGCAGTTTGGTCCACCGCGGGACAGGAGGTCGGCATAACCACGGCAAGATACAGTCATAAGCAGGATACGCAGGTAATACTGTTCTGTCCTGCTCGGTGAGACCCAAAACAGTCTGCACACCTTCTCGCCACGCTGTCGGGCAGTGATAAAATGGACGCCATCGGGGTGCTCGTATATCTCCGCAGTTTTTGGGCGCTTGACATGAACCACAAACGTTTCATAGAACCCCTGATAAGTCAGGTCGTCAAACAGTGAAATACGAGGCCGGTCAAAGTAGATGGTGAGTTTGGAGCTGTTCCTGGCGGCTGCCTCTGCCAGTTGGCCAGGTCTAAACAGGACGGACTGCTTGCCCTCCAGATGGACGGGAAGACATTCAACAGCCGGCTCAGATTCTGATACTGGAAAGTTTAATAAACGCCAGCACGCGTCACTGGCACCCACCATTCTCTTCGTCACGTAATGCTGTACCTCATCATCTTGCTTACTGAAGGGAGTAACTGTGACGTTCTGGAGAGATCCTCCCTTCATAAGATATTTGAAGAGGTACTTAATCACGCGGCGAGTAGACGCCAGCTCCAAATTGATGTGAGCCTCGTATTTCAACATCAGTGCGGGATTATAAGGCACAACCCAACCGTCATGTACGATAATGTTCTTATTGCGTGATACAATTGTCCCCCGATTGGTATAATCTCGCTTGTACTGGACGAATCCCCTCTCGTCGACGTGGGTGGTTTCACAGCAGGGCTTGGGGAAGTATTTGGTGCAGTAACCCTTTGCAGAGTCCCAACAGAGAAAGTCAGTCCTATGATCATTACCACATGGACCGTGGATCATGTGTTTGAGGACCAACTTTCTCAGTCGGCCTCCGGCCTCTTCTTCCGAGGGAATATCCGCGCGGATGATGGAGTCAATTTCGGACGCCTGAACTGGTCCGTCGCCGTCAATCTTGAATACAATGTGGGCGTGAGGAAGGCCCCTCATTTGCATCTCGATGACGTAGACGATATAGACAGAGCGTCCAAACATTGCTCCGCTGCGCAGGTCTCGGAGAAGTTCCAGAAGTTTGATCCTAAAAACTCTGCAAGCAGTGCTAGGGTCACTGCGAGTACCTCCACGAGGGCAAGCTTTCTTGTTTTCCTCCCAAGTCGCGTTGTAAGTAAACGTCAAAAAGAAAGTGGGGGAACCCAGGCGCGATACGATTGCCATAGCGTCTTCGTATTTTACTTTCATGTACCTGGGCCCCCCGGTGAACGAACTTGGGAGGTAGACTTTTCCTGCCTGCACCCCACCCTCGCCTTGGACGGTTTCATCACGAGCGATGTCGTTCAAGACCTGCTGTGCATTCCGAATCTCGTCAACCGGCCCCACCCGCAAGGCACTATCGGTGTTCTTCAGCTGCGTAAACTTAATGTAACGCAGTTTCTCCTCCTCGTACCTCGCGAACATCTCAACCTGCCAAGCTTGTGAGAGACGGCCTAGGTGAGAGAAGCGAGGTTCAGAAAGTAGGAGGCACCGCGAGTACTTAAATTGAGTCAGTTTGGCACCCTTGTTATCAAGGCGGCCAACGTGCCATCCCACAGTGCCTTGCGGGTAAAGTAGGGGATATTGGAAAGGTTCCATTAGGGGGTGTAAAAGATCAATAAATGTAGGTCTATCGGAACCGGATTTCCATATAGTCAGTCTCCGGGGCTCAGTGTCGTTTTCATCATTGCTGAGCACGGCGTGCACTTCGACGCCTGTTTGCCGATCACCGAGAACAGGGCCATGGGTAGACCTGCTTGTTACTTCAAAAGCCAAGTGAGCTGTTACGGAAGGCTCGTTGCTCAATCGACGGTAATGCTCAATGTAAGGATTTTCCCTAGACAGGAAATCAGCAATACCGTCGATGATCTCGGCATCAAGCGATCTACCCATCGCAATGTTACGGCGCTCTTCGCCATCGTCAATATACAGGCGGGACCGATTCACAAACTGAACGTTCCCAGAACGAGTGGTGAACTTTTGTCCTGGGGCGTCAAGATTGTAGACCTGGTGGTACATTCTTCCCTCGATCTTGAAAAAAGAAAGACCACTGGGATGACGATACCCGCCTGACACTTCGAGCGCGCAGAAAGCAAACAGGTCGTTGTACGCACGGGCTCTTTCCAGGAAGAGACGGTCGGAATAAAAGCGTTCTTGCAACGGAGGAATGTCGAGAACATTGAACGCTCCTTCCCCGCAGCACCATTGCTTTCTATTCTTCTCCTCCTCGAAGAGCCGTCCTTGGCAATGACGACATCTGTAAACGTCGTCAACCCAGAGACTGACTTTTTTTAATTTGTATGGTTGTATTTCATTGAGTGGCTCCCCATTCCAAACAGACATGGGGCCATTTTTGACTACGGACCGAGCAAGTGATGCGGGCATAGCGAAGTTCAGACATTTTCGGATTTTTCAGGCGAAAAATCTGAACTCTCTCAGCAGAAGCACCGGGATTACGCAGGTCGTATTGCTGAACAGCCTTTCGGTGCACCTCAGGGTGGGTTTGAGTGTAACGTTGACTGTCATCCCGGAGTTTGTCAGCGTGCGTCTCCCTATACTTCTTCTTCGCCGCATCCACTTGCTCTTCTCGGGTCGTGTCTAAAAGCTTTGGACGACCACGCTTTATTGTTTTTGGTCTACCAGGACATTTGGTTTTCTGAACAACTGTCTCAGAGGCAGATTCTGATAACTGAGTTAAGTCATTGTCCGAACAGTCGACCGTGTGGACAGTTTGAGTTTCGTTGACGGAAAACTTTATTTTTGTGACGGAGTACTGCCCACCGACGAACGCAGAATTCACCAAAATGAGGGAAGCTAGAGAACGAAAACTATTACAGACGAACACCCTAGCCTTATTTCTCGCCTCATCAATGTCTCGACGACGGTTTTCGTTTACCGCGTGGGAATCAAAGAGGTACAGCCGCCCTTGGAAACGCCAAAAAGCGACTGTCACCAACTGTCCCGTAAACAAAAAACCGCTATCAACGGAGTCACCGGGCATAGCTGCTTCCAAAACCGAAGACAAGGAAGAGGTCACCTCATCTAGGCCATCGTTTCGTAACGGATACAACCCGTCCCAAACACAAGAAATTTCTTCGATGGTAACACGATGGTGTGCAACCACGAAGTGCCTGGCGAGGTCCTCAGGGAACAGATACCGGTTAGTGATGCTATGCTCACGGCGAGATAGTGTATACAAGCTATCGCCCGCCATGAGTATAGCGTCAATAGCGTTGGTACTGAATCCGCCGCAGAATGCTTGCCATGCGAGGGCACAGGTTGCATTTGCCATGCATTGAGCGTTGTTGCTCTCGGTAAATCTGGGATCTCCCTGGTGGAACGACCCAGCAGCAACGCAAGAGAATTCCATGCTTACAGAAAATTGCAGCAAAATCGCCAAAATAACAAGTCCAATAAATAGGAAGAAGTGACAGTGAAACTTAATCATGGGTAGCCAAATCCATTAGCAAAAATTAGAGCGAGAACCAAATGACTATACAGCGTTACTGACCTACGCGTTTTGGGGGTCAAGGAGTAAAGTTACGAAAAAACATGTGAAGGGTGAAATGTAAAGTAAACTAAGGAGAATACGAAACATTAATAATATTTGCAAAAAATTATTATTTAGGTACGAAAACATAGCAAAAACCGATAAAAATTTGAAAAAAATTTACAAAATTTTAAAAGTAGGGCGTTTTTTGAAGCTTAAGGAGTGCGATTTTCTGAAAACGCCTAAGAGGGTTTTGTAGAAAATTTAATTCCTGTTCCTGGATATACTGTCAAATCTTTTCTAGCTCTTACCGTTTTCGAGCTACATCCGGTTGAAAAAAAAGTGTTTTTTCGTTTTCAGAGGTCCGCCGTTTTGGATTTTTGGGTGGGTTAAAATTTGAAAATGGGACTTTTGCATATTCCACCGGTAATGTAAGATCTTTTACTACAATACTACGCAAATTTGAAGTCTCTAGCACGTTTCTAAGTGGTTCAGATGGGAACACGAAAGTCGGCCATTTTTAATGTTATTCCCCATAAGAATAACATGGGGGGGGAATTCGAATTTTCGGGGGGGTTAAAATTTGAAAATGCGACTTTTTGGAATTTTATGGGTGGTTTGGGCACTAGACCTACAACCACCGAAAATTTCAAGTCTCTAGCTCATCTAGAAGTGGTCTAGAATTTGTATCCCCAGTCAGTTACACATCGGATTGTATAGTATTTAGACTCGCCTTGTGCTCGCTGGGGGCTCCGCCCCCAGGCCCCCTTTTAATAGTAGCCGTGATGAGAAATGTTCACGGGGGACAGGATGTTGTCCGAAAACATTTTTGCGTAAAAGACGTAGTGATAACTTGGCGGTTGCGAGGTATTCCATAGAGGGGTTGTTAAGTGCAAACCAAACCAGTCTTGGCATGTTAGAGTTAGTAGGGCCGGTGCTATGATGAATTAAATTTGCTAAGTCACAACCTCTAAAACTTTCTTCACATCAATAAGCATCGATATAAAGTCTTAGGAGTAAGAGTGAGGTAAAATAATATTTTTAAATAATCTTAGGCCCCCTTCGGGGGCGGGGGGTTGGTAAAAATTATCGACATGAAGAATGGACCCCTTGCGCAGTAAAAATCACCAAAAATAGGGAAAAAAGGTAAAATTTCAGGTTTAAACACGAATTTGGGGTGGAGATGGGAAAAAAATTAAACTAAACGCATGGCTCAATCATATCCTGGTTAAAGTTCGTTCGCTACGCTCACTCACCTTTAGGTGTGAGCTCGTTCGCTGCGCTCTCTTGCCATCAGGTTAGCTCGTTCGCTACGCTCACTCACTTTTGGGTTGGAGCTCGTTCGCTGCGCTCACTTGCCTTCAGGTTAGCTCGTTCGCTACGCTCACTCACTTTTGAGTTGGAGCTCGTTTGCTGCGCTCACTTGCCTTCAGGTTAGCTCGTTCGCTACGCTCACTCACCTTTAGGTTGGAGCTCGTTCGCTACGCTCACTCACCTTTTGGTTGCAAATTAAGACAAACCTTTACAAAAAGTTTCAGCTCCGTAGCTACTCTAGAAGTGACAAAAGTGTTTTTTTCTGTCACCAAACGCCCATATTTCACCTACTGACGTTTACGTCTAGTTTGCCTGTCGACGCATGCTAATTCTCCATAAGAAAATGCTTTAAAAATCATCTTGTCAATTGGAAATCCGCCATTTTGAATTTTTTGTGGGTTTAAATTATTGAGGGTCACTCTAGGGACTTTCCTTTCAATGTTGGGAGCATAAAAAGTAGAAATTTATATACGAAAAGTCGTTTTAAAAATTAAAACCACGTAAAAAATAGAGGATTTTCACAATTTTTGGAGCTAGAACGTTTTTTGAAGGTGAAGGAGTGCGAATTTCGATATGACGCCTTCTCCGAAAAACTGTCTTGTAGACAATTTCATTGCGAACCTACGATTTTTCCTCAAATCGCGTCTGGATCTTACCGATTTCGAGCTACAGCTGTTAAAAAAAACGTGTTTTCCAAAAATAGGGTTTTTTAATTGATTTTTTTGGTGGGGTTGAATTTTGAAAATGGGGTTTTTACGAATTTTGCTGGTAATGTAAGATCCCGTACTAAAAAACTACAAAATTTCAAGTCTCTAGCTCGTTTCTTAACGGTTCAGATGAGCGTACGAATGTCGGTATTTTTCAATTTTATTTCCCGAAAGAATAACATGTGGAGGGAATTGTCAATTTAGAGGGGGTTGAAAGGGAAAAATGCGACTTTTCGGAATTTTCCCGAGCGGTTGGGCCCAAGACCCACGTGCGTGCCAAATTTCATCTCCCTGGCACGTCTAGAAGTGCCCAAACATGCCTGTCAAAACATGCTAATTTTCCATAAGAAAATGCGTAAAAAATTACCTTTTTGATTGAAAATCCACCATTTAAAATTTTTTTTCGTAAATTAAAATTATGGAAGGTCACTTAAGTAACTTTTCCCTTAATGTTGGGAGCATAAAAAATAGAAATATATATACGAAAAGTCGTTTTAAAAATTAAAAACACGTAAAAAAATAGAGGATTTTTACAATTTTTGGAGTTAGAGCGTTTTTTGAAGCTGAAGGAGTGCGAATTTCGATATGACGCCTTCACTGACAAAACTGTCTTGTAGAAAATTTAATTTCGAACTCACGATTTTTCCTCAAATCGATTCTAGCTCTTACGGTTTTCGAGCTAGAGCCGTTTTAAAAAAACATGTTTTTCCGAAAACCGAAATTTTTATGGAATTTTTTTGGGGGGGTAGAATTTTGAAAACGGGGTTTTTACGAACTTCACCGGTAATGTAAGATCCCAAAGTACAATCCTACGCAAATTCCAAGTCTCTAGAACGTTTCTAAACGTTTCAGATGAGCGTACGAAAATCGGTGTTTTTCAACGTTATTTCCCATAAGAATAACATGGGGGGGAAATTGTTAATTTAGGGGGGGTTGGAAGGGGAAATTGCGACTTTTCGGGATTTTCCCGGGGGTTTGGGCACTAGACCTACAAAACGCCGAAAATTTCAAGTCTCTAGCACGTCTAGAAGTGGTCTAGAATTTGTATACCTTATCAGTTACACATCGGGCTGTATAGATTATAGACTCGCCTTGTGCTCGCTGGGGGCTCCGCCCCCAGGCCCCCTTTTTTGGTTGGGGGATAGTTGCCCCCAGGCCCCCTTTTAATAGTATCCATGATGAGAAGTTGTCACGGGGGACAGGATGTTGTTCGGAAACATTTTTGCGTAAAAGATGTAGTGATAACTTGGCAGTTGCGAAGTATTCCATAGGGGGGTTGTTTAGTGCAAACCAAACCAGTCTTGACATGTTACAGTCTCGATGTAGGGCCGGTGCCATGATAAATTAAGTTTGCTAAGTCACAACCTCTAAAACTTTCTACACATCAATAAGCATCGATATAAAGTCTTAGGAGTTAGAGTGAGGTAAAATAATATTTTAAAATAATCTTAGGCCCCCTTCGTGGGCGAAGGGTTGGTAAAAATTATCGGCATGAAGAATGGACCCTTTGCGCAGTAAAAATCACCATAAATAGGGAAAATAAAGTAAAATTTCAGGTTTAAACACGAATTTGGGGTGGAGATGGGAAAAAATTAAACTAAACGCATGGCTCAATCATATCCTGGTTGAAGTTCGTTCGCTACGCTCACTCACCTTTAGTTTGGAGCTCGTTCGCTGCGCTCACTTGCCTTCAGGTTAGCTCGTTCGCTACGCTCACTCACCTTTAGGTCATGGCTCAATCAAATCCTGGTTGAAGTTCGTTCGCTACGCTCACTCACCTTTAGGTTGGAGCTCGTTCGCTGCGCTCACTTGCCTTCAGGTCAGCTCGTTCGCTACGCTCACTCACCTTTAGGTTGGAGCTCGTTCGCTGCGCTCACTTGCCTTCAGGTTAGCTCGTTCGCTACGCTCACTCACCTTTTGGTTGCAAATTAGCTATTGTCATAATAGTAACAAAAACTACATTTCGGGACTTTGTGGGTGGTTTGGTACCCAGACAAACCTTTACAAAAAGTTTCAGCTCCGTAGCTACTCTAGAAGTGACAAAAGTGTTTTTTCTGTCACCAAACGCCCATATTTCACCTACTGACGTTTACGTCTAGTTTGCCTGTCGACGCATGCTAATTCTCCATAAGAAAATGCTTAAAAAATCATCTTTTAAATTGGAAATCCGCCTTTTTGAATTTTTTTGTGGGTTTAAATTACTGAGGGTCACTCTAGGGACTTTCCTTTCAACGTTGGGAGCATAAAAAGTAGAAATATATATACGAAAAGTGGTTTTAAAAATTAAAAACACGTAAAAAAATAGAGGATTTTTACAATTTTTGGAGTTAGAGCGTTTTTTGAAGGTGAAGGAGTGCAAATTTCGATATGACGCCTTCTCGGACAAAACCGTATTGTAGAAAATTTCATTGCGAACCTACGATTTTTCCTCAAATCGCGTCTGGATACCGATTTCGAGCTACAGCTGTTAAAAAAAAACGTTTTTTCCAAAAATAGGGGTTTTTAATAGATTTTTTTGGTGGGGTTGAATCTTGAAAATGGGGCTTTTACTAATTTCACCGGTAATGTAAGATCCCTTACTACAAAACTACAAAATCTCAAGTCTCTAGCACGTTTCTTAACGGTTCAGATGAGCGTCCGAATGTCGGTATTTTTCAATGTTATTTCCCAAAAGAATAACATGGGGAGGGAATTGTTAATTTAGAGGGGGTTGAAAGAGGAAAATGCGACTATTCGGAATTTTACCGAGCGGGTGGGCCCAAGACCCACGTGCGTGCCAAATTTCATCTCCCTGGCACGTCTAGAAGTGCTCGAAAATGCCTGTCAAAACATGCTAATTCTCCATAAGAAAATGCGTAA